CATATTAGACTCTCTGATAGGTATGAGGTAGTACCTCATAGTTTTTAATTTGCGTGTCTCTAAACAGAGTGATTTAGAGCATTTTTTCATATGACCATAGATAACTTTAATTTCATCTGAAAACTGCCTGTTAATATTATTTGACAATTTATCAATTGGGGAATGACTTGTATTCTTATAAATTTGACTCAGTTCTTTGTTTTAGAAACAAGGCCTTTATCAGAGACACTGGCTGTAAAAATTGCTTCCCAGTTTTCTGCTTCCCTTCTAATCTTGGTTACATTGGCATTATTTGTGCAAAAACTTTAATTTAATGTAATCAAAATTATCCATTTTGTATTTCATTATGTTCTCCATCTCTTGTTTGATCATAAATTCTCCTCTTTTCCATAGATCTGACAGGTAAACTATTTCTTGCTTTCCTAATTTGCTTATGGTATCATTCTTTATGTCTAAATTGTACTCATTTTGACTTTATCTTGGTATACAGTGTGAGATACTGGTCTATGCCTAGTTTTTACTAGGATATTTTCCAGTTTTCCCAGCAGTTTTTTGTCAAATAATGAGCACTTATCCCAGAAACTAGAGTCTTTGTGTTTATCAAAACGATTACTACAGTCATTTACTACTGTATCTTGTGTACCTAACCTATTCCACTGATCTAATACTCTGTTTCTTAGCTGGTACTAAATAGTTTGATGATTGCCACTTTATAATATAGTTTTAGATCTGGTATGGCTAGGCCGCCGTCCTTTGCATTTTTTATTAATTCCCTTGATATTCTTGACATTTTGTTCTACCAGATGAATTTTGGTATTATTTTTTCTAGCTCTATAAAATAATTTCTGGTAGGTTAATTGGTATGACACTGAATAAGTAAATTAATTTAGGTAGAATTGTCATTTTTTTTTATATTAACTTGGCCTACCCATGTAAATTGAAAAGATTTCAACTAGATGAGATCTCAATTCCCTTCAAGGTCTGAATCCTCTGATTTGTGATTTATGATTTGTCATTAAACTGATGTTTTTCTAATTACTTAGATCTAACTTTATTCATGTGAAAAGTATTTTATAATTGTGTTCATATAGTTCCTGGGTTTTGTCTTGGCGGGTAGACTCCCAAATATTTTATATTGTCTATAGTTATTCTAAATGGAATTTCTCATTCTATTTCTTGCTGCTGTTTTGTTGGTAATTTATAGAAATGATGATGATTTTGGGGGGGTTATTTTATATCCTGCAACTTTGTTAAAGTTATTTATTTCAAGTGTTTTTTAGTTGATTCTCTAGGATTCTCTAAGTACACCATCATATAATCTGCAAAGTGTGATAGCTTTGTTTCCTCATTGCCTACTCTAAATCCTTCATTTTCTTTTTCCTCTTTTATTGCTAAAGCTAAAATTTCTAGTAAAATATTGAATAATAGTGGTACCAGATAATGGGCATCCTTGTTTCACTCCTCATATTATGGGGTAGGCTGCCAGCTTATCCCAAATATATCTAATGCTTGCTGATGATTTTAGATAAGTTCTACTTATAATTTTAAGGAAAAATCCATTTTTCCTATGCTTTCTAGTGTTTTTTTTAAATAGAAATGGGTGCTGTATTTTATCAAAAGCTTTTTCTGCATCTATTGAGATAATCATATGATTTCTGTTAGTTTTGTCATTAATGTGGTCCATTATGCTCATAGTTTTCCTAATGTTGAACCATTCCTGCATTCCTGACATAAATCCCATCTGGTCATAGTGTATTATCCTGGTCATAAATTGCTGCAACCTCTTTGCTAATACTTTAATTAAAATGTTTATATCAGTATTCATTAGAGAAATCTGTCATAATTTTCTTTCTCTGTTTTGGCTTTTCCAGGTTTAGGTATCAGCACCATATTTATGTCAAAAAAAAAAAAAGAATTTGGTAGGACTCCTTCTTCATCTATTTTTCCAAATAGTTTATATAATATTGGAATTAATTATCTTTTAAATGTTTGGTGGAATTCACTTGTAAATCCATCTGGACCTGGAGATTTGTTCTTAGGGATTTCCTTGATGACTTGTTCAATTTCTTTTTTCTAAAACAGGGTTATTTAAGTATTTTATGTCCTCTTCTCTTTATCTGGAAAATTTATATTTTTGTAAATATTCATCCATTTCACTTACATTGTCAGATTTATTGGCATACAGTTACTTGGCATACAATTATTACTTTAATTTCCTCTTCATTGGTGGTGAATTCAACTTTTTCATTTTTTGACATGGGTAATTTGGTTTCCTTCTTTTTCTTTTAAATCAAATTAACCAAAGTTTATCTATTTTATTTTTGTTTCATAAAACTAGCTCTTAGTTTTATTTATTAGTAGAATAATTTTCTTACTTTAAATTTTATTAATCTCTGCTTTGATTTTCAGAATTTTTAATTTGGCATTTAATTGGAGATTTAAAATTTGTTCTTTTTCTAGCATTTTTTAGTTGCATGCCCAATTCATTGATCTGTTCCTTCTCTATTTTATTCATATAAGCATTCAGAGATATAAAAGTTTCCCCTAAATACTGCTTTTGCTGAATCCCATAAGTTTTGGTATGTTGTCTCATTATTGTCATTCTCTTTGATGAAATTATTGATTGTTCCTATGTTTTGTTGTTTGATCCACTCATTCTTTAGGATTAGATTATTTAGTTTCTAAATAATTTTTAGTCTATCTTTCCATGGCCCTTTATTTCATGTAATTTTTATTGCATCATAATCTGAAAAGGATGCATTTAATATTTCTGCCTTTCTGCATTTGATTGTGAGGCTTTTATGCCCTAATACATGGTCAGTTTTTGCATAGGTGTCATGTACCACTGAGAAAAAGGGCATATTCCTTTCTATCCCCATTCAGTTTTCTCTAGAGGTCTATCATATCTAATTTTTATAAAATTCTATTCACCTCCTTACTTTATTGTTGATTTTGTGGTTAGATTTATCCAGTTCTGAGAGAGGGGGTGAGATCACCCAGTAGTATAATTTTGTAGTCTATTTCTTCCTGTAACTAACTTCTCCTCTAAAAATTTGGATGCTATATCACTTGGTGCAAATATGGTTAGTATTGATATGACTTCATTGTTTAGGGTACCTTTTAGCAAGATGTAGTTTCCTTCCTTATCTCTTTTAATTAGATCTATTTTTGCTTTTGCTTTGTCTGAGATCATGATTTTTACCCCACTTTTTTTTTAACTTCAGCTGAAGCATAATTTATTCTGCTCCAGCCTTTTACCTTTACTCTGTGTGTTTCTCTCTGCCTCAAATGTATTTCTTGTAAACAACATATCGTAGAATTCTGTTTTTTTTGTTTGTTTGTTTTTGGTGAGGCAATTGGGGTTAAGTGACTTGCCCAGGGTCACACAGCTAGTAAGTGTCAAGTGTCTGAGGCTGGAGAATTCTGGTTTTAAATCTACTCTGCTGTCTACTTCTGTTTTATGGGAGAGTTTATCCCATGCACATTCACAATCACAGTTATGATTACTAGTTGTGTATTTCCCTCCATCCTATTTTCCCCTCTGTTTTTACTTTTCTCTCTCTTTTCATCCTATCTTTCCTTACTAGTTTCTTGCATCTGACCACTGCCTCCCTCAATCTGCCCTCCCTTCTATCAGCTCCCCTTCCTTTTCTTTCCCCTTTCCCTGCCTACTTCCCTATAGGGTAAGATAAATTTCTATACTCAAATGAGTATGTATGTTATTCCCTCTTTGAGCCAGATCTAGTGAGAGTAAGGTTCAAATGATGCTCACCACCTCCCTTCTTTCCTTTTACTGTAATAGGTCTTTTGTACCTCTTCATGTGATGTCATTTACCCTATTCTGCCCCCCCTTCTTCTTCTCCCAGTACAATCCTTTTTTTCACCTCTTAATTTTTTTTATATCATCACATCAAAGTCAATATATACCCATACCCTCTGCCTATATATACTCCTTCTAACTACCCTAATAGAGATACAGTTCTCAAGAGTTACGAGTATCATCTTCCCATGTAGAGTTGTAAACAATTTAAACTTATTCAATAACATATTTCTTTGTTCTTTCTGGTTTACCTTTTTATGTTTCTCAACAAATTTTCTGTTCAGCTCTGTTCTTTTCATCAGGAAAGTGTGAAAGTCCCCTATTTCATTGAATATCCATCTTTTCCACTGAAAGAGTATGCTTAATTTTGCTGGGTAGTTGATTCTTGGTTATAATCCAAGCTTTTTGGAATATCATATTCCAAGCCTCCAGTCCTTTAATGTAGAAGCTTCTAAGTCTGTGTGAACCCGACTGTGGATTCTTGATATTTGAATTGTTTCTTTCTGGCTGTTTGTAGCATTTTCTCTTTAAACTGATAATTCTGGAATTTGGCTGCAATATTCCTTGGAATGTCATTTTGGTATCTCTTTCAGAAGGTGATTGGCGGATTCTTTCAATGACTATTTTACCCTGGGCTTCTAGGATATCCAGGCAGTTTTCCTTGATAATTTCTTGAAAGCTAATAAAACCTGTAGTAATTTGAAAACTTTCAAGGTCAGCCAAAGAAAATGATATCTGCAACCTCACCCCTACCCCTCAGCAAATCTTTTAGTCAGTAGTGGAGATATAGAGGAGGCCAAGAGCCAGGCTGCAGGTTAATGAACTTTTCAGATAAAGCAATTCCTAAAGACAATTTCCTAAGATATAGAGGGGTTTTAATCCTGTGCCAAGTGAGAGAGTCCCCATATTGGGTCTTCTTAAAATACTGAAGAATGAATAACATGCCTTTTTTTTTTTAGAAGTGACATTATAATAGACTAGAGTGACTCCTAGACCATGAAGTTGTTCAGGGCAGAGACCATACATTATCTAAATTTTATGTCTCCTCCAGCACCTGGGATAGCGCTGTGGACATAGTGCTTAAGAGATGTTCATTATATTGATTTGAAACCATAGTAATGGTTACTGAATTATGTCCTTTGTTTCAACATTGTCAGTTGTATGTCTTTTGTTTTTTCAGGGAGAGCAAGGCTTAGACGGATTACCTGGAAAGCCTGGAGAAGAAGGGAAGCAGGTACATAACCTCTGAACTAAATTTCCCACTTCCAATGATGGCTGAATGGGGCGGGGAGGTGAAGAGGCTGGTATCTGGTAAGAGAAACCGTAGGAACAGGGAAGACATCATGACCTTTTCTCTAAGCTGGAAGTGCCTTTTGTGTCGACAAATGGCAGCAACCCTGTTTGGTGCATAGTACAAGTATCCCACTTAACTTTTTTGGATGCTTTTCCTTATTTGTATGGGTCTGCTGTCTCTTTTCCAAGTGATAAGTCTCTGAATTCTTCCACCCTTTCACTTTAAGACTCATCTGATGTAAAGTTGCAAAATAAGTGAACCTAAGAGTTTTATAAAGGGCATTAAAACTTCAGGTAGTGGTTAGATTTGATGAACTCTATAGTCCCTTCCAGTTCTGCATCCTTAAGACAAAGGAGAGAATACAGTGGGAATTTCAGGAACATGGTTGTCCAAGAGGTAAATTATTTATTCCAAAGGAAGCTTAAGTGATACTCACACAACATTTTAGACATACCCACGTGTTCTGCCTGTACATAGTGTCATACCTGGTAAATGCCTATCAAATACTGATATTTATGACCACTTTTTCAGCCATCCTATCCAAATATCATGATTTTAAGTTTGTCTGAGTGTCCTGGGAGAAGGATAAAAAAGAAGGAAAAAATAAACTTAGATTGAGAATCTTAAAAATCAAAGTTGAGATTAGAGGATAGACATTCTTACAGTGATCACTGGACAGCCCTATAGATGTACAGATGCACCACATTGGCCAGAAACTTTATTATCTCAGCGCAAAAGGCAGTATAACCTCTGACTGATGCCAGCAATGCCCCCAACTCTGCATGTCATACTGGGTTATTTCCCTCCCTTGCAGTCTGATCACAAATTCACTCTGCTATTGGAGCCATTTGGCTTCATGCAATGGCTGCTGGTCATTAGGTCTGAAGTCCCTTCATGCTATAATAAAATTACTCCTTCCTTTTCCCCACAATAACAGTTAAATGCTCTCCATCCTACAGGGCAGTCCTGGCACTCCAGGTGTGGCTGGTCTCCAAGGAGAAAAGGTAAGCAGAGTCAATTCATGGAAAACCTTTGTGTGTATGTGTGAAACTGGTTTAATTAATTATTTATATTAAATTTAAAAATATATCAAACCCTGAAGTAGAAATATAGCAGAAATATAATCCCGTTTTACAGATGAGGCAAATAACACTGGACCTTGGAGAGGCTACATAACATTGCCAGAATTATTCAACCAGTAAATTTAAAAACTGCAACCCAAACCTAAGTCTGCCGACTCTTAGCCCAGTGTTCTTCCTGCCACATGGTGTGGACTCACAGACATTTGGCTAGACATATTTTTTTTAAATGTGGGGCTTTGAAAAATCAAACCCCCCTGGGTTTGGGCATATTTTTTAAATCTGGAAAAAAGAACACAGCTATGTTAAAGGAGTGAGACGAATTTCAATTCAATAGCATTCATAGGATTAAGAATGAAAAGATGCTTTAGAGACCAACTAGTCTGGGGAAATTGTGGTCCAAGAAGCTAAATGACTCACCTGCGATCACATGAGCAAGAAAGGCTGAGCAGAGGATTGAACCCATACCCTCTGAATCCAAACAAATTGCTCATTTTACTGCACCACATGTTTATTATTAAATGCCTACTATTTACAAGGAACTGAGAAAAAATCTTTATCCCACATTTCTATTGCATAACAGTGATTAAGCGGGATCTTCTTATCAGAGCTCTGTGAAGAAGGAAATAAAAATGCCATTCTTAAAACTGAGTTCACATAAAAGTCAATGTCAGACCACATAATCCTTAGTGTGCATTATTACTTCTCAGATCTGTGGTTTTACCAGGTATTGGTATACTTTCTACTAATGGAAATCTCAAAAATGGAAAACTCTTCACAAATTCTAAAACACTATATAAATGTTGTTGTTGTTGTTACTATTGTTATTATTTGGACAAGCTAGGTGGTGCAGTGGATAAAGCACTGGGCTTGGAATCAGGAAGGCTCATCTTCATGAATTCAAATCTGGCCTCAGACACTTACTAGCTTTGTGACCCTGGCCAAGTCACTTAAACTTGTTTGCCTCAGTTTCCTCACCTGTAAAATGAGCTGGAGAAGGAAATGACAAACTACTGTAGTATCTATGCCAAGAAAACAGCAAATGAGGTCATGAAGAGTTGGACATGAGTGAAATGACTCAACAACAATAATAATATTTATTAACCCATTAGATTGTAAGCTCCCTGAAGGCAAGGACTGCTTTTTTTCCTTTTTTTTTATCTCCAGTGCTTAACACAGTACCTGGCATATAGTAGGCACATAATAATTCATTAATTATTATCATCCATTCTTCTCCCCATACCCCTCCAGGCAGCCACTGTGAGTTGCTTTGGCTGAAAAAAGCAAAACAAAACCAAAAGCACACAGTGTGGTGGCCAAACATCTTGGGGCAAACTTTTCTGTTCAGGTAGACTGGTCTCCTGACAACAGCACCATAGGTCATTGGAGTCCTGTGCTTGAACCTTGCCAGTCCAATAACATAGTCTTTCCAAAGCCAGGGTCACCTCCATGCAACAAGTTGGTATATGAGGGCGTTAATAGAGGTGCTATCAGCATACACTCTGAAAAGCTCCATTGATGTAAGAATAGGAACTGGAAATGTTTTCATTCCCTTCAACCTCCCCCGTCTCCCTCTACCTCTGTTTAATTATCTACTGCTTTTACAAGGTATTTTTAGGGATGTGTCTTACATTGTTATTTTTAAAATAGCTATTAAAACTAGAGAGTCATGATACCTCTCCAGGCTGATGTGAAGTTTTTAATACACTCTAAGCAGTTACTTGACAGGGAATGCAAAACCCTAAAAGAAGCTATTTCACTTTGAGTCACTAAGTAGAAAGGGAATGATACTTGAAGGTTGAAACCCAAAGAGGCAATTACCCTGGTTCCTGTTATACTTTACATTACTGTTGTTTTACAAATTGACTTCCAAACACTCTGCCATTTTGAACATTTCAGTTCTTCTTCTCCCTTGGGGAAACAGATGAGGCATTACTGCTTACCATAAAACAGATGCTAAAAATGCCTTCTAATGTCATTCTGGAAATTTTGCTGGGGAAATAAACATACTAGAACCTTTCAGGTATTAAGGTTCACCGTCATTAACTCTTTGAGAGAAGATCATGGAATCACAAATTATGAGTTTGGGAAGGGACTTTATCCTATCTAACGCAACCTGCAATCTTTGGTAAATCACAGAATTTCAGAGTCAGAAGACATAAGAAAAGTAAACTGAGGGTCAAAAAAGGAAAATGACTTAATAAAGATCACAGTTAGTGACAGAGTAGAGTCCAGAACTGAGGTCATTTACCAACCCACATGATGAATAACCCTAAGATGCCCAATATTATGAAAGGCAATGTGGTGCAATAGAAAGGTGCTAAATTTAGAATCAGAAGACCTGAGATTAGAGCCTTGTTCTACCTCTTGGCTTATCTTGGCTGACCTTTACTGATTAATCAACAAACATTTATTAAATATTTATTAGGTGCCAGGTGCTAGGATAATCAATGGAGCAACAAAGAAAAAGCAAAAATTATCTGTGCTCCCAAAGAGTTTATATTTTAATGACATGTCACTTAACCTCTCAAGGGCTCAATTTCTCCATCTGTAAACTGAATGACTTGGACTAGATGACCACCAGAGTTCCTTCCAGCCTTAAATACAAAGTCCTAATTTTGACATTTATGACCTCTAAGATCTTGGACAAGTGCTTTAACCTTCCTTGGAATAGGAGCCTCTAAGGTCCTTCCCAACTCTCAATCTATGATTGACCCATAGTTTTAGACTTAGTTAATTAAATTTGATTGATTGCATATCCTAAGAAATTAGTTTTGAATAAGTGAGTCATTAAGTTGACCTGCTTGCTGTAAGTTACTCTGTGCTTTGAATTATTTTTGACTGACCAGGACAGATTGGTCTACACTTTACAATGTTTAGAAGGCCTGGCATGCCCAAAGTCCTAGTGAGAGCTGAAAAATTGGTCTACCCTGGATAAGCATAGAATTGGAGAATCTTAGAATCATCAGCTCTTCACATTGGAAGGAGATATTAGGGATCTATTCCAAAACCTATCCCCTGTAGGAATCCCCTCTATAATATCAGTAAGAGGTAGAATAGATTTATAGTCAGTAAACTTGGCTTGGTTCCTAGTTTGACTTTTAACTAGTTTGTGAGCATGAACAAAGAGTGTATGTGGCACAGTGGCAAGCATTTTTAATCAGTGCTGTAGGGTTTTGAAAGATAGAAAAAGAGGGCTATGTTCTGGTCTGCCAGGTATACAGTTTTGTTGAAGAGGCAAAGCATGCACATACAATTCAGCAAAAAAAGAGGATACAATTTAAAAGAGACATCAAAAATTATTCTCAAACGATTTATTCCATTACACAGGGTGAAGTTGGACCACCTGGGCCACCTGGTATACCAGGCTCTGTGGTAAGTATTTTCTTTGGGGTGGGGGGAAAGGTGGAGGGACAGCCTATAAAGGGGATTTCATCAATATAAGAACTGCTTGAAGAGGAACTTCTACCAGAGATCAGCAACTTGCCTGTAGTTTCTATTCTTAATAGATTGCCTGGGTGGTTAACAGGGGTGGTTAAGGCATTTAGCCAAGGTCATGTAGCCAATTGGCATCAGAGGTAGGATTTGAACCCAGTTATTTCTGACTCTAGGGCCAATCTTCTGATAACTGCACCTACTGCTTCTTGTGGTAAGCCACAGACCCACAGAATTTTAGACTCATAGAATCTTAAAAAGGCCTTTGAGTTTATCTAGATCAAAAACAACGCATCCAGAAATTCCTGATAGGTTGGTCATCCAACCTTGGCTTGAATATTTCTAGTGATGAGAGGCTTAATTGATGTGGCAGAGGCTGCCCGTTATATTGCTTTTCATATTTGTTAGACAGTTCTTCCTTGTACTGAGCCCCAATATGCTTCCTTTTTACTACCACTCATTTGTTTAGCTCCATTTCTACATGTCCAGGAGGGGAAGGAAAGAGGAGAGGAGAGAAGAAGGAAAGAGAAGAGTAGAGGAATCAATATCGGAATCACTATCAATCAGTCAGTCAATAAATATTTATTAAATGCCTTCTATGTGCCAGGCACTGTCTATCAGTAAAGGCCTATCCTGGAAGAAGTGAAGAGAAAGTCATCAAGAACAGAGGCACAATGGGGTAACTTCAACCAGGAGGAAGGCAGAGAGAATGAGGAAGGAATGTGAAAGATTCAGGGACATTTTGAAGCATGTAGTGGAACTGAAGAAACTCGAGGCAAGACTTAATAAAATAGGAAGGAATAACATTTGCTAACAAAGTTAAGAAAAGTGGATGGAGTTAGGAACTAAACATTTGAATAGATGATATGGAAAATGTGGCAATCAATAAAATATGACCCAAAGGTTTACCTTATAGTAGTAAAGATCTACCTGAGGTCAGAAAAGATGGAGTTGGAGTAGATCCAATCAACATGATTCCTGAACTCCTTTCAACAGTTCTTGGCAACTTTGGGGGTGGGGATAGTAGGCAATGATGGGTAACATCTAGGTTAGGTACTTAGGGGGCAAGAACATTAGAAGGTCAAGGAGCCATAGATTCGGGGTAAAGGAGAGGTATCTATCATTAAAGTGATTGTGTACTGAAGGAAGATTGTCTAAGTTAGGAAGGGAAGCCAGAAGGGGGATAAGAAACCACGAGAGAACTAAAGGGACCGAGGCTGTTGTTCATTTTGATTTGAGTACCTTTTGGCCTGGAATATGTATGGTCATAAAAATAAGCCACAGGAAGGTGAAAAAAAAATTCAGGGAAACGTCATTAATTCAGGTTACAATAAGAGCTAAGAGTAAGTATTAGGAGAGGGAGGATGTGGAGCAGCAGAGGAATGATTGTGTGGACTGAACAGAGAAAAACCAAGTAGACTTTGATCCTGGTGGATTCTGGGTATGTTTAACATCCCCAATAGTATAATAAGCCCTTTGCCTCAATCGATTCCTGGTTTTATCTTTCAGGTGCAGAAGGAGGGCCTGAAAGGAGAACAAGTAAGGGAAATTGTTATCTCCCCCTCGTACATTATTTCTGGAAATGGAAAGGACCTGACAGTGTGGTTGACTCAACACCCTGAGCTGGGATATTGGTTTGCAAAGATATGCAGACTCAGGATTAAACTGGAAATGGTTTAATATGTCCTTGGGGGAAATGGGTTGTTTTCATAGTGGTGGAAAGTCTAGCCACAGAAAACAGTATCAGTAAAGGAGACTGATAGTGTGCTAAGTGACCTTTACCTTGTCATTGGTTGAAAGGCATATTTGCTGACAGGGGCCTGGTGTGGGTAAGTGTCTTCAAAAATAGATTTGAGGCACAAAGGAACCAAGGAAGCAGATCTTGCCTGGATGCTGCAAGCTCTGTTGGGACCTACTGAGTTTCTTCCTAGCTTCCTTTCAATACTGACCTTGCCCCTTTGGGAGACTTAGATCTTGAAAGCTCTTTTCCTGCCCCTATATTGTTAAAGTTGATTGTTTATAATGCAGTGCACTAAATATTTATTAAGGCCCTTAGCTGTTCAGATCACAGTGATTGGTGTTAGAGAAGATACAGAGTTTAGATCTGACTCAGTTTCAGGGAGGTAGCAACCTACTTGGCAGATAGGATAGCCACACCTATTTGTAATCCCACCTCTTCGTTATTCAAACCTCTGTACCGATGACCTTTTCTGTTTATGGGACCTAGCATCTCTGGATTACACACTAGGATGGGGTTGGTAATTGGGGAATGCCAGAATCTACTTTTTGGTTTTATTTAATTTAATTATTTGTATTTCATTTAATTTCTTATTGTTTTAACAGGGGGCTCCAGGACCACGTGGTCATCAGGGCTTACCTGGTCCTCCAGGAGCACCAGTAAGTCATTCAATTTCCTTTCATCCTGATCCAAACAAATTTTAGCTTGTATATGTATGTTATTTTATTTTTAAACAATTTATATTCAACGAATAAGTGAGCTCATTACAAATCATCAATAAACACATTTAAAAAAAAACATTTGTTAAGCTCTTACCATGTGCCAGCTATTGTGCTAAACACCTGGGTTGTGAACACAATGGCACAGCACTCTCTGCCCTCAGGGAGTGCATATTCTGATCTATCATGCCCTTCCATTTATTAAAGACAGTGTTTTGTAGTAGAAAGAACATTGGACTTAAAATTAGAAGATTTGGGATTGCATCCCTTCATCTCTCCTTACTGGTTATGGGATCTTATATAAGTCACTTGTTTTTATCTATAAGTCCCTTATTCTATGTCTGGAATATATTGGTCCCTGGGAGTGTCAAGAAGCTTTTATCTATTTGCCTTTATAGAATCTCTTTATAGAATTAGAGGACATCAGAGTTGGAAAGGGTCTCAGAGGTCGTTCCTGTTCATCTGAATATCATTTCACTACTTCCTCTGTGGCTTTGATCCTTACGAAAAGCATTTGAGGTAGCCAATGAGGTATTATTCCCATTTTATAGAAGAAGATGCTGAAAGCAGAGGGAATAAGAGAATTGTCCAGGGTCACCTACCTAGTCATGGCCATACCCAGGCCCAGAATGAGCCAACATCTTGACTGCTTCAGGGTTCTTTTCTTCACATCAAGATTGCTATAGGAAGAGAGAGATAAAAATGAAGGCAGAGTTCTCCCCAATAGTCACTTAATAGTGAAATGGGAGTTTAGGTAAATATTTTTGATTAGGCTATGTTCTTATTACTCTAACCCAGGATTAGTGTGATAGCATTGGTAAAATGCCTCCCAGGCATTTGAGTCAGTCAAGGACAAAATCTTTTCCTCACTTGTCCACAGACACCTTGTGAAGCACTTTGGGGTTGCCTTTATCTTACTGAGTGATCAGAAGACTGTAAAGACATATTTTTAGACTTTTTCTTGAGAGAGGCTAAATGCAGGTCAGTAAATCACTTCAGAGTTCCAGAGCCTGGGATAAGAAATGGTGAATGAATTAAATTGCTAAATAGTGTCCTGGGTGCTTTTGATCTAATCAGGCCTCTGGTTGACCTTCCTTCCCTTGTTCTCAGGTAATTTTATAAGAAAAAAGGAATCTCCAATAAAAACCACCTGGCTAAGGTGCTAAGCAAGGAGATAAAAAGAACAAACTAGTGATTTCTGGTTACAGTTTTTAAAAGGGTTAACAACCATTCATCTAAGGAAGGCTCTATGTATGCCATGAGTAAAAGTGTCAATGTGTGACTCAGAGAATCAGTGACTTTAATAATAGCTAATAGTAATAGCTACCATTTACATGGTACTTTAATGCTTACAAAAAGCTTTAAAAATATTATGTCATTTTGTCCTCACAGCAGCCCTGTGAGGTAGATGCTATTATATCCCTATTTTACAGATGAGAAAACTGAGGCAAATGGAGGTTAAGTGACTTGCCAAGGGTTATACAGCTGTTAAAAGTGTGTGACCATATTTGAAATCAGGTATTCCTGACTCCAGGTCCAATGATCTATCCACTGCATCACTTTGCTGACCTTAAAAAAATAGTATGATCGAACCCCCTCATTTTATTTTTATTATGAGGAAACTGAGGTCCTGAGAAAAGTAGCAGAGAGAACACTATATTTTAAATCAGAAAATCCACCTCTGCTACTAACTACCTATTTGACCTTAGGCAATTTCTTCATGTGTATAGTATCTATAATCTAGAGCTGGGAGGAACTTTAAGGCCAGCTTGCCCAATCTGCTCATTTGACAGATGAGGAAACTGAAGCCCAGGGATATAGAGTTGTACAGGGTTGTCCACATAGTAGGTGGCAGAGGCAAGACTTGAACCCAGGTTCTCTGACTTCTTTCCACTATACTACATTGCCTTTTAGGTCCTTTTCTGAATCTGTTTCTGAATCTATTTATAAGGTGTAGTCTGGGCAAAGAGGGAAGGACAGGCAGAGTTGTTGACCTTTTGTTCCTTAAATATATCCTTTGCATTTGTACTTCTTCTTTGCCCATACTGGTCCGTCTGCCTAGAATATTCCCCCACTTCAACTTGCTCCATGCTTATCTATCCTTCAAAGCTTACCTCAAATGCCATCTCCATGAGGAAACCTAATCTGGTACCTTCAATTAATAATGATCTTTGCTTCATCAAATCTTATTTTGTTTATATTGCTAGTAGGCTCTCATCAGAGTCTACCTTGTACCATATTTAATTTCAACCGTGTCAAAATTCTGTGAAAAGATGTGTGAACGTTCCGATGGCATTTGCTATCATATATTTATGTTTTCATTTCCCAAAGAGCCTGACAATGTAAGAACCATACTAAATGCTTATGAACGACTTTTTTGAATAGATGAGCGAATGGAGCAAAGGGATCATTTGACTTGACAATATGATCGTAGGTTTAGAGCTGAAAAAAGCCTCAAAGATCATGTAGTCTAATCCAGTCATTTTACAGGTAAAGAAACTGAAGCTCAACAAGGGTAATCCACTTGCCCAGAGTCACGTAGATAGTACGTGGCAGACCCTTAATTTGAACCCTATTCCTTTGACTGAAAAATCAAGCATGGTTTCTAATATTTAAAATAGGAGTCATTTCTAATATTTAAAATAAGAGTCATTTGTTAATTAGGGAATTTCCATCCTTTCTTGTGACATTAGATGAAGTTTTATTGTTAGATAAGATTATCTAACCAACTGGTTCACTAGAATTATAAAAACTTACTCTAAGAATAATTTAATTAAAAAATAAACAGTATTAAGCATTTACTATGTTCCAGGTACTGTGATCATCACTGCAGATACAAAAGCAAGCAATCAAAATAACCACTACCCTCAAAGAGCTTACATTCAAATAGCAGAAGACTATACATAAAAGGGAGCTAGAGGAGAAAAGTAGAATAGGTTGAGATGGGAACATATGAGCATAGCAACATGACTTGGGAAGTGAACAGTGGGCCAGAAGCTGAGATAGTTAAGGGAAAAGCTGACCTATTAGAACTCAAGGCATCACGGTTAGGAATCCTTGTTCCTATGAGAAGAAGAAAAGGCCAGAACAGATGGCTTGGGTTGGAGATGGTTGGGAAGTGTATAGTGGGGAAAAGGCTAGACTAGACAAGGTGAAAGCACACTGAACAGAGATTAAGGCCCCAAGGCTCAGAATCTTATTTCTGATGTGCAGTAGAGAAGGCCAAAATATTGGCACTATGACTTAAAGATGGCTGACGTGGAAAAATGTCCATTTATTTGTCCAGAATGCCTGTTCATTTAGTGGTTATAACAAAAGGCAGAGAGATAAGTATTTTTCCACTTTTGGAATTAGGTGTGTGTGTGTGGGGGGGGGGATGTGGAGGGCAGTGTTGCATATCACTTCATGTCTTTTATCAGGTTCCTAAACCTTACCATCTATCTGGCTTCTAAGCACTCTTATCTATGTCTTATAGGAGACAGTAAGAGGCAACTACAATGGGGAGGACAGGAATGATCACAGAAGGGATGAATAAGCTAATGAATAAGTAAAGAAGCATTAAGCAGCTACTCTGTTCTGGGTGCTGGAGATTCAAATACAAACGGGATTGAATTATATTAAGAGTAGGGAAAACACATGAAGGATTATAAAGAATTGTGACCAAGGAAGGGAATTTTGGTGTGGCGAGTTGTGAGGATGTTGTTCCATCTTTGAAAATGAAGGACAGACAACAACAGGTCAGCCAAATGTCATGCTCTTTTTAGAAGCAATGATAGTATCGATGGAATTTCTATTCTCAGAAGTGGAAATAGTTAATAGAGTATGGAATGGGAGCATGCACACATGGCCAGATGTCTGAGACAGAATGTGAAACATGGTCTGGGACAGTTACAGTAGTTGAAGTGTTTGCACTTTCTTTCTCATTCTAGACTAGATTTAAAGTCAGAGAATCTGAGTTTAAAACCAAGTCTGCTCTTTGCTACCTGTGTGGCCATAGAATATGGCTAGATGGCTGGATGTGGGCATTTAACTAAATATCAACTTAGGTGAATGTAATAGATGCAGTCATCAACATGCAAAATGCCTTTTAATCCTTTGATCTTATTGCATAGCCTTGGATGCTGCCTTTGAAGTATAATAATCATCTCAGAGCAAAATTAATGCTTGAAAACTAGGTAACTTGGCATATTATGAGTCCCCCCCTCCACTCTGCCTAACCTTTAAGACAGTACTCCCAAAGAAGACAAAAAGTAAATACCCCCTATGACACCAGACTTTACCACCATGCCACCATTGTGATAATTGCCACCTGTTTTCTTCTCTCTTTTCCCAAACATCATGGCTAAATGGACACATGGTTATGAAGGTCAGTTTTAAACACAACATGTATTGATTGAAAGGAGCTCTAGCTTAAGTGAGAATCACCGAGTCTCATGGTAAAAAGGGACCTCAGAGGTAAACATCACATTGTAGAAAGAACACAAGACCGGATCGTGAGAGACTTGGATTCAGTTCTGACAATCTGTTTCTAAATGTGCATAATGGGGGGAAAAGTTTCAGATTCAACCGTTTGAGAGCTATTATTATTTGAAATGTTTTTTTTCTTTTTGGGGGGGCACATTGAACCATCTGAACACAATGAGCAGAATCCTCCACACCTCCTCTTTGGAGATGTCCATCTTTCAATTCTACCCTCTGCACTGCTATGATTATGTGACTTTGCCCCTGTGTGACTCAGGAAATATAATTTAACCTTTCTGAGCCTCAGTTTCCTGATAATATGATAATACATATAGTATCTGTCTCATAGCGTAGTTGGGAGGCTGAAATGAAATCATGTAATGTGCCTTGAAAACTTCAGAGAGTTATAAAAATGTAAGTTGTAATTATCCAGTTGAACATACACCTGTGTAGGAATTGCCTTTTATATTGTCCCTCAGAAGTGGTTATCCAAAATCTTGAAGACTTCCAGGAAAAACATATTCACCAGCTCAGGAGATGACCCATTCCCATGCCCAAAAATCTCGATGATTCCAATAGCATGCTATTTGAAACCCTTTACAGTCTGGCTTCCACTTAAATTTTCCATGCTATCTCATTATTCTCCTTTGCACATCCCATGTTTCAGCTAATCTGTCCTTCTGGATGTTCTGTAAATGTAATATTCTATCTCCCATCTCTGTTCTGGAATACACTCCCTTCTCAACTCTACCTCTCTGAATGCCTTACTTCCTTCAAGTTCAGGTAGCACTTCCTACCTGAAGCCTTTTCTGATATCTGCAGTTGTCTGTTCTCTCTCCTTCTTCCAATTATTCTCTATTACTTTGTATATCTCTGCTGACTCCTGCCTCACCCACATGTTTAATATAAACTCTTGGAGATAGGGCAAGTTTTTGTTTTGTCTTTCTATCCTTTATGCCTAGAATTATTAAGCAGGTAAATAATAAATGTTTGTTGAATTAAACAACTCTATTTGTTAGAAATATTCCCTCCCCATTATATTGAGTAGATATTTTATCTCTCTGTAATTTTTACCTATCCTTCCTAGTTCTGGTCCCTAACCCCAAGCAGATAAATCCCTTTTTCATGTTAGTCCTTCCAATATTTGAAAGGAGCTGTCATGTTCCCCTTCCATCTTTGCTTCTTTAGGCTAAAGAGCGCCAATTTTTTTTATCTGATCATGCTCTATTTCTATTCCTCTCTCCACTTGTTTTTCAAGGTCCTTCCTAAAATGAATCCTTTACAGAACACAATACTCCAGCTAGGGTCTGTAGGGTGTTTAGGGTGACTCTACTTCCCTTCTTGGGATGGATATTATGCCACTGTTCATGCAACTCCATACTGAGCTTTCATTCCATTAAAACCTCATCATCTCTTTGATATGAACGGTTTTCTATCTGGGGCTCCCTCATCCTGGAGTTGATTATTTGAACCTAAGAGTAGAACTTACCATTTATGTCTATTAAATTACATTTTGTTAATGCCTTGTTATTCACTTTTCTTATTTACAATAGGATGGCATTTATTTGTCCTTCCAGGACTGAAATGTTGGACAGCAATAACAACAAAACCAAATATGATTTCAAAACACCCACACATACACACACATATAATACATACATATATATGGGGTATTTATATACACACATTATGTATGAATAATTATATATATATATATGTAATTTATAAGTATACTTTTACGTAACCCTATTTATTTTTCTGTTATTCTTTCCTATTTTGTTTCCTAAAGGGTCCAATGGGTCCTGAAGGCAAAGAGGGACTTCCTGGTTCTCCAGGACAGCGGGTAAGTTGAATATCTACTTTTAATTGTGCCTGCTTCCCTCCACCCCAACATGATCTGCACCATGGGTCTATTTTAGGAAGCTTCCCATGGGAGAATTGTGTTGATACTAATGCAGAAATGGAAATCCTTGAATAAAAGCAAGCATACATTCTTTCTTGGTATCAAGAGTCTTTATATTTTTTTGCCCTTTCTTCTCTTCATTAAGGAATTTAACATGCTGCCTAAGGAAAATATGAAGTGTCATGATATGATGTGTTGACATTATAGGGTTCGGCCCCATGACATTGTTGTTCCCAGTCTTCACACACTAGGGATTTACTCTGTTATTTATAAGCTGTGCGACCTTTGGCAAGCCTAGCGTTACCCTTTACTTGGCACTTAACATATGTGGCTTTCCATGCAGTTTATCTTTTTATGTATACAAACTTACAGATTTATAGCATTTTCAAGCTAGAGGATACCTTAGAGATCATCATTTTATGGATGAGGACGTGGAAACTCAGAGTGAAGTAGTGACTTGTCCAGAGGCACACATGAGTTACTGAAAACTTGAACCCAGGTCACTGGACTCTTAACCCATGACTTTTTCAGTTATACCACTTGCTTTTCTTCTCTGTTTATTTAAATAATTTCTATATCCAGTAATATCCAATATCCAATAATCCAATAATTTCTATGTACAGTAGAAGTAGCCTGTGATATGCTTATTTGTATATGTAGCAGTAGCTATAACAGTGCCCTTGCCAAAAAAAAAAAATATCTCAATGAATGCTTCTTGAATGTTGATGCTAATGGTGCCAGAACAGGCAGAAGCCCATATGAGCTATCCTAGTTGTGTATCAGGTCTTTTGAATTCCAAATCAAGTCAACAAGTATTTTTTTTTTGTCTTAAGGGTGTTTAAGACTTCCTTCCCTTCAGAAATAGGAGTCAGTCTTGGGAATATCATGCTTTGCAAAATATGGAGAGTGACATACTTCCCAGAGAGATTACAGGGCTGAGAGGCCAAGCACCAGCCCTGGCCTTGTCATCAGCTCACCAGCACGATATGAGCAAGTCACTTAACCTCCCTCAGCCTTAGGTTTTTTCCTTTTCTTCTTTGAGCTAATTGAAGCAAAATCAAATTTCTTTTAAAACAGAAAATGATGATCCATAAAGATTATGTAGGAGAGGGAAGACAAATGCTGAAACATTTTTGTACCAAGAATTTTGAGTATTTATTTCCCACCCAAACCCAAACCTCTTTTAAAAATTTTCTTCAGCTCCTAAAGTGAAAATCTTTGATTTGGGTAAGAATGAATCACATTTTACTTTGACTCATTAGTGGAGCAGGCAAGTTGGTATTGTCCTATAGAAAAATGACTTTAATCACCATGATATCAATTGAAGTGGGCATTGTGATTTGTTAAGGGTGTGCAAACAGGCAATACAAATAAAAATATGTAAAATAAATAGCTTGAGTTGATAATTTACTGATAAAGGAAAAAAAGTATCATAAACAAACTATATTTGCCCACATGTTCATGATTGGATTTTAGAGTTCTAGATGAGGGAGTTGTATTGGTTTCTTCAGAGCATTGACTGAATAGATTACCATTATCATAATCATTGTAATTACCAGTATGGCATTTAAAAAATTATTAGTCACAAACCACTAAGCATACCTGTTATCAGGAGTGCTGGTCTACCTATGTTCAGCGAGGCTCATCACCAGGTCATGGCCACAGGGTGAAGAGGTTTTTGGTTATAAATACATCTGAAAACTATGCACCAAGTTTATGAATCCCAGGTGAAGATTCCCTTATTTAAAATCCAACTCTTATTTGACATAGGAATGTCTTCTACAGCATCCTCAGCTGGTGGCTATCCAGCCTTAGCCAGACAACCACCAGTGACAACTATTACATTGACAACCATTCTGCTGTTGACAATTTTACTTGCTATTTCTATTCTACTTGCTAAAAAAATTTTCCCATCTAGTGGAGACAGGTAACCTATGCTAATCTGTTTAGCTGTAAAAGACATGGGGACTTTGGTGGACTGCAAACTCGATATCATTTATCAGTGTGATATGGCAGCTGTGAAAGCTAATGCAATCTGAAATTATAATGAGAGGTATAGGAAGGAGATGAAAATCTCACTATCCTAGTATGACTACATCTGGACTAGTGTATTCAGCTCTGTGTGACATAGTTTTGGAAGGAAATTGATTACCTGGAGGGCATGGGATCATAGGTTTCTTGATCTAGAGCTGGGAGGGCCTTTAGAGACCAGCCTCCTCATGTTAGATGAAGAAGTGACCTACTCACCACTACACAGGAAGTTAAATGGAAAGTGCACAGGAGCATCCAGGTCCTCTGACATCAAGTCTCATTTTTTTCCCACTGTGTACTTGTTCTCTGGAGTATGTCTTCAAAAAATAGTTTCTTTTTTTTTTTTAACATTGATATCACTTGTTAATGATGATCCCTAGACCCCAATAGAAACTACGCTTGTTATACAAAAGTACAGGTAAGCAAAAACATACCAACCCTTTGGTGATGCCTGATAACATATATCTCATTTTGTACCTATAATCTACTGCCAGCCTGTCAAGAGGAATGACATGAATGTATTCTGCTATCAGTCCATTTTAATGCATTGAACAGAATTCTGAGTTCTTTCTATGCTGATTTCCTTTAAAGTATTGGGTAAATTGTTCTCTTTATTCTGTTTATTTAATTCAAAACACATTTTAAACACATCCGTTGTCTCAGATTTCATCTCCCTTGTCTAATGCTGGGAGGCGACTCAGACTAATTAAGGCTACTGTTTAGGGCATGTCTCCTACATACACACAATGCAGAAGATGGTTTGGATTTTTCTCCCTTCACCTCCCCATGGAGGTGGACTTAGAATATTTAGTGTGATCCATCCTTTGCTGGCTGTGAGAGGAAGGAACTGAGCCTTATCGTCTTCCAGAAAATCTGAGTCTACTGTTTTATATTCTGCAGGAGGGGAGAATTGATATTTAAGAGCAAGAAGCAGAACAGTTTTCACTGATGCCTTAAACTGTGAATACAAGTATACTTCTCCAAGGATAGAATAAGGGGAGATCAGGGAAGATATGTAATCATGACCTCATTTCTCTCTCTACATTATCTCCCCTGGTGATTCTAATCCACTCCTAGGGTAAATACTAATCAATGTTCAGGTTGAGCTAAGTGAACTGTTAAAGAAAGAGATCATCTATAGGATGCATGATTTGCAAGCAGCAGAAGGTCCTCAAAATTCTTCTCTTACCTTCTTCTTACCCCAACAGAGGTTCCCTTCAGTTCTGAATCTGTGATCCTATGTTTATTACCAGGAAGGGACTTGGGCAATGGTTAGTGATACCTTTGAAGGTCTATAGAACTACAGTTTTCTGAATAATGGAAGTAGGTGGTAGAGTTAAACATCCATTTATTGTTTTGGTAAAGGCAGCATATCGAGTAGGAAGTATTTTCATTTGAGGGTTAGAGAATCTGGGTTTGTGTTTCAGCTTTTAATATTTATTATTTTTTGAACTTGGGAAAATTACTTTTTATCTTCATCATATGTAGATGAAGGGATTGTGTTTAGAATATAGACAGTGTCTGAAGTCCTTTCCAGCATTAGAACTATGAACCTGTGATTATCAGTCTGAAATGGACATGACGTTCCCATCATTAAGAATTACTTTTTAATTACTTCTTTATTACTTTGAACTAACAAAATGAGATGAGATGAGGCCCTTTGCCTGAATAACCCATTCCCTTGCTAAAGGTATTTTCTCTCACATCAAATATTCCTAAATACTTTGGCCTAACATCCTTTTTGCCCTCATTAGTGGTTACCTTTCACTTTACTTAAATGTACATACTAGATTCTCCTCTACTCACAGTATAATTTGGGCTCCTTGAGGGAAGGGACTAGGTATCATTTTGCATATATATGTATATAAAAAGTTTTAGGCTCAGATTCTTATAATCTAGCCACTGCTGGGACTCTTATAATCTAGCCAATAAGCCAATAGTTTACTAATTCTCAGACTCCTTAAGAGTCTGCCCAATATGATGGATGTTCTAATAAACCTTGTCTTTGGCTAAAAAAAAAAGTTTTACACACACATATATATATATATATAATTGTGTATATATGTTAAATATAATCTCTTTATACTCTTGTCTCTCTCTAACACACAAACACACACACACACACACACACACACACACACACACACACCCCTTTAATGCAGTCTTCTCCCTCAAGGAGCCTAAGTTATACTGGTAGATGGGAGAGAATGCACAGAGAAGAGGGAAGGTGAAAATTAGTCACTGATGAAGGCAAAGAACCTATTAGGACAAGCTTGCTAGGGATATTTGAGGTAGGAGTAAGCACCTTTAGCTGGGGGTAAGGGGAGGGAAATAGAAGAATATAATATGAATGTCATTCTCCATTAAAGGCTGGCAACCATAGGCTCATAGATTTAACCCTAAAAAGGTTCTCAAAGACCATCTAGATTCTAGTCTAACCTTTTGCCTACATAGGGGGAAACAACCGAGGCTCAGGGGGAAAAAAAAGGTAATATATCCAAGTTCACACAAGTAATATATATTGAAGCTGGGATTCAAACCTTTTAAAACCAAAGCAAAATACTTTTCATTGAATGTGTTGCCTCTCCCCAAACAAGAGATGCCTAAGTAGACCATTCCATCTATATTATTCAGATAATTGCAGTTGTTTGCATGGCTAGGTAGATGATAGATAGATAGATAGATAGATAGATAGATAGATAGATAGATAGATAGATAGATTACGAATAGATATTTTCCCTCAATTAAAATGTATGATAATAAAGAGTACACACTACCCAGGAGGGTGAGTAGGACTTCCTGAGTGGCTGACTTGAGTTCTACTTCTCTGCCTGTACTCTTCCTCTGGCCTTTTCTTCATCTTTGAATGCGAACATCCATTGTGGTAGCAGTCTAAGTTGTCATTATTC